TAGTAGTAGTAGTAGTAGTAGTAGTAGTAGTAGTAGTAGTAGTAGTAGTAGTAGTAGTAGTAGTAGTAGTAGTTTATTATTATTATTATTATTAGTAGTAGTAGTAGTAGTAGTAGTTTAGTAGTAGTAGTAGTAGTAGTAGTAGTAGTAGTAGTAGTAGTAGTAGTAGTAGTAGTAGTAGTAGTAGTAGTAGTAGTAGTAGTAGTAGTAGTAGTAGTAGTAGTAGTAGTAGTAGTAGTAGTAGTAGTAGTAGTAGTAGTAGTAGTAGTAGTAGTAGTAGTAGTAGTCGTAGTAGTAGTAGTAGTAGTGGTGGTGGTGGTGGTAGTAGTAGTAGTGTAAGTAGTAGAAGAAGTAGTCGTATTATTATTCTTCGTATTTTCAGTAGTAGTAGTCGTAGTAGTAGTAGTAGTAGTAGTCGTAGTAGTAGTAGTAGTAGTAGTAGTAGTAGTAGTAGTAGTAGTAGTGGTAGTAGTAATAATACTAATCAAGAAGGAGGAGGAGGAGGAGCTCCCTTTAGAGCCTCTGCGCTGGATGTAGAGATACTCGGAACAAATCATCAATGAGCCTGATTGAGAAAGCCCGTGTGGCGCTGCGCAGGCGACGCGCTTCTTCGCCGAAGGCGGATCGGAGTTGCAGAGAGGCGACGCGCTGAAGCAGGACGCTCTCCGAACTTGTGCCTCGTTGGACAGGTGGCTGCTTGCCATTTTTTCATGTTGTCGGTTGTTCTCGGAGGTGATCGGGCCCTCGGGCCTTTCCGTCAGGTGCTCCGCGCCGAGGGGTTTCGGGGGCGCCTCGCATGTGCTAGATCGCTGATTTAGGTTTTGTCTGTGGCCCTTAGATCGAGAGGCAGACTTGGCTCGAGAGGCTTGTCAGCGCAGTACCTGGAATTGGCCCTGGAGCCGATTTTTGACGGGTCTTAGCCGAGTTGAGGCAAACGGGTGAAGTCCCTCCAAGCCTCCCGAATCGAGTCCGCGTGGATGGGTTCGGGAATCGCGCGGCATCGCTGATGCATCAGCGATGCGGCCCGATGTGGAGCCCGATTTTCTCAACGCCGATGACACCATCGGCGATGCGGCACGATCCTCCGACCCCATCTACTTAGATGGGTCTTGCCGAGTTGAGGCAAGAGGTCCGAGGCGGGATTTGTCCATCACCCTGCGCGCGGGGGATCGACCTTCGGGGATCTCGGCAGGCGGTGGATATGGATCTATTCGGGCTCCCTGCGGCCAAACTATATCCATAGTCCCGCCCGCTGGGGTTCCAGCACGTCGGGTCCCCAGGAGGTGTATATGGATAGATCGCCGTCTCGCATCAGGGTGAAGCCCCAGACACGCGGCATCTTTTTTTTTTTTTTTCATGCGGGGTCCCCCGAAGGGTCGACCCTTTCCCTGGAGCTGGCGTGCCATCCCGAGCCATGTTTTTGACGGTCCAGGGGTCTGGCGGCGGCTCCCACAGGCCGAAAACGGTCGAAAACCCGACCCGCCCCCGCGGTTGTGCTCGCGACGCGAACATGTCCGGGTCGGCTCCGGGGCGCCGCCACCTGGCCGCACCCACGGCCTGAAAGTGCCACTGGACCAGCGCCGGCCAGGCCGGGCAGGCTCGCCACGGCCTCCGAAGGAGTGTCGACGCCGCGGCTGCGCCCACGCAGCCCCCGAGGCGGCCGGTCGCGGCCGACGGGGCACGGCTCCGAGGCGCCGCTGCCTGGTGGCGCCCACGGCCCGACGGTGCCGCCGCACAGCGCCCGCCGGGCTGGGCAGGCCCGCCTTCAGTTGATGTTTGGCACGATGTTTTGGCTTTTGGCTGTTTAGCTCCCAGCTTTCTGATTCTCTGCCAGCCGCAACGGTAAACCAACGGCAGCTCACAACAGATAAGAGACTGCAGCACAAGACGGAGCCAGGCCGAAAACGGCGCGAACGAGAATCCCAAAGCGGAGAAGAGAACGGGTCCCAACACGGACAAACAATGCCGGTCTTGAAAACGGCGTTTCTCACCTCATCCAAGGGCCCGCCACGGTCTCCGAAGGGTGGTCGTATAGGTGTCGGAGGTGAGGGGGTGAGATCGAAGTGGAACGGAGAGCCCCCCTACCGGGAAATCGATTTCGGTTTCGTCTTCGTGCGTGCCGTGCGTGCGGGCGAGGCGAAGCTGCGTGGGCGGGCGAGAAGAAAGTCTCCTGTGGCTGAGGCGCGGCCGGACCAAATGTCTCCCTTCGGGCGGCCGGGGCCCCGCGGTGTCCCGCCGGTGTCCCGCTCGGATGATGATGATGATGATGATGATGATGATGATGATGATGATGATGATGATGATGATGATGATGATGATGATGATGATGATGTTGACAACGATGATGATGATGATGATTGTGATGATGATTGTGGTGATGATGGTGAGTTCGGTAGTGAGATCGATAGTGAGACCGAATGTGAGATCGATTGTGAGATCGATTGTGATATCGATAGTGAGGTCGATAGTGAGACCGAATGTGAGATCGATTGTGAGATCGATTGTGATATCGATAGTGAGGTCGATAGTGAGACCGAATGTGAGATCGATTGTGATATTGATTGTGATATCGATAGTGATATCGATAGTGAGATTGATAGTGAGACCGAATTTGAGATCGATTGTGAGATCGATTGTGAGATCGATCGAATGAGATCGATAGTGATATCGGTAGTGAGATCGATCGTGAGACCGAATGTGAGATCGATCGTGAGATCGATAGCCAGATCGATTGTGAGATCTATTGTGAGATCGATTGTGATATCGATAGTGGGATCGTTAGTGAGATCGAGTGTGAGATCGATAGCCAGATCGATTGTGAGATTGATCGAATGAGATCGATAATGAGATCGATAGTGAGATCGATAGTGAGATCGATCGAGTGCGACGGTGGTCCCCCCCCTCGCCTCCTTATCACCCGAAGGGTGGTCTATGCGGTATCAATATGCAGAGGGTCACACCCACATGATTGTGTCGTCACCGTGGGGTCGTCGGCGCTTGAGGGAGGAAGACTCCGCCGGGGGGGTCCATGGCCTTCCCCCGATGCCATGGCTCCCTCTTCGCAGTCGGGAGCGCCCCCGGCCCCGCGCTCTTGGCCGTGCACGCTCCTCGGGCGTGTGCTCAATCGACGAGCGCGTTCCACTACTCGCAAAGGAGCTACTCGCAAACGGCCTGGACCCCCCCCCCCCGCGGGGGGATCTATGATAAGGTACATCAAACGAAGCAGACAAGTGTTTTTTCGGACGTTTGCGAGTAGGCACCTTGCGAGTAGTGGAACGCGCTCGGCGACTCAAGATTCAGGAGGGAAACAGAAAGCACAGCCACAATTCATCGCCGATGCCCCAGAAAATAGGGGAAGATATGGGAAGTGTGGGGAGGACAAGAACCCCGAAAGCATGGGAACATATGGGAATCCTGTTATGTGTGTGTGTGTGTATTTCTTTGTGTGTCCCAGGAAATATGGGAAGATATGGGAAGTGGGGGGAGGACAAGAACCCCGAAAAAGCATGGGAACATATGGGAATCCTGTTATCGGTGCGTATTTACTTGTGTGTCCCAGGGCCCCTTCGCCCAAGATGGATCCGCAGGCCGCCTCCGGGGCCCGGGCGCGTCGGCCCTCCCCGCCCGCCCGGCCGCGCCCGCGGCGGCCCGCGGCGGCCGACCGATGGGAAGCACCGCGCCGGTTCTCGCAGCCGGGGGCCCAGCGGGAGCCAGGTAAAACAGGGCTAGGATCGGGATAAATCGCTCCAGAGCGTTCCGGAGCGCTCTCAGAGCGTTCCGGAACGCTCTGGAGCGGCCGCGGCGCCCAATACATCCTCCAAACCCGCCGATTCTCAGAGATTTCGAGTTATCCCGATCCGATTTTGTCCCGATCTTCGCGTCGTTTTACCAGGCCGTGGCGGGAGCCCGAGGTGGCAAGGCCGCGAGGTGGCAACGCGACCTGGCGCAGCCTCCTCCACGCCTCCTCCTCCCATCCCGTGCCCTTCTCGTTGTGGATGGGCCCGACGAATGGTCTTGCGCTGTTTGTGAGGAAGCACTTGTTTCTAGTGCAGCCTGCGGCCGGGGTAATTCTTGTTGGTCCACAAGAATTGCTGTGCCCGCAGGCTGCAACGGCGCTGGGCCCCTTTTCGGAACTTCGAGGTTCCGAGCCTGGCGACGCACATAATTTTACAGATAACATATCACACGCGCGTCCTTATTGCGGTTCGCAGCTGTGCTCTGAGATGTGCGTATATGTGTAAACATGTGCATACATACATCACGATTGGCGCACACGTATTTCCTGCAAGATTTTGAAGATTGTTACTGTAGGGGACCCTCTGGGAAGTCCTCTTGGAGCCTTCTTGGGGCGTCTTGGAGGCCTGGAACCGTCTGGAAACCACATTGAGCGTTTTGGAACGATTTGAGGCTGTCAGGGGAGCCTCTTGTCTTGGGGTTGGAAGGAAGAAGTCAAATGGACGAGAGCTTCTCCCAGTGTGGGGGTGCCCCCCTGCCGGGAGCCCCCCTTAACCCCTCCCCGGGACCCGCCCTTGGGACCTCCCGTTTCGAACCAACGACGCCAGTGCTGGATGCTTTTTCCCCAAACAGCTTGCTGAACGGGGTGCTGGTGTGGTAGAAGCTGACTCCGGCCGAGGGAATTCCAAGCAAAGACGTCCTCAGCAAAATCTGGTGGTTGGGGCCGTTTGACCTGAGACATCCTCACAACTCTCGTTTCTGAGTTGTCCGGGATTGGGCGTTTCGCCTGAGACATCCTCCTGAATTTGAGCTCCGAGCTGCCGCGCGCGAGGTGGTCCGGCCCGTTTCGCCTGAGACATCCTCGAAACTCTGGGCTCCGAGCTGCCGCGCGAGAGGTCGCCCGGGCCGTTTCGCCTGAGACGTCCTCGCAATTCCGGGCTCCGAGCTGCCGATCGCGAGGTGAGCCGGCCCCCAGTCTCGCCCAGCGGGGTGCTGAACGGGGTGCTGAACGGGGCGCCCCGCGGCGCGCCCCGCCGCGGGCGCGGGCTCCGTCGGGGGCGCGTCGGCCCTGCCTGAGCGACCCGCCTCCCCGGCGGCTCCCCGCCTGTCCTCCTGCTGCTGCTGCTGCTGCTGCTGCTGCTGCTCGTCGTCGTCGTCGTCGTCGTCGTCGTCGTCGTCGTGGTCGTCGTCGTGATTGCGTGATTGCGTGATTGTCGTCGTCGTTGTCGTCGTCGCTTCGGCCTTCCAAGGCCTGGAGGCGGAGGAGGGTACGCGATGCATGGTAGAGCACGGCATAGCATGGCGTAGAGGAGCACGGCAGAGCGTAATTAGCATGCCATAACATGGTGTGGCATTGCGTAGTGAAGCATTGCATCACAAAGCATTGCAACGCAAAATACGACATCGCACAGCGGCACAGAACGCAACACCGCGGTTACGACGATGAGGCAGAAGAGAAAGAGAACCAGGAGGATGAGGAGGATAATGTGAAGTGGGGCGAGGATGTATAGGAGGAGACGGAGGCAGGGCATCAGGAATATGAAGAGGATAACGATGAGGAGGAAGGAAAGGAGGGTAGGAGGAGGAATGTGACTAGAAGGGGGAGAAAGAGGTGGAGTGGGAAGGCAGGCGGGAGAGGCGAGAATGATATTTCCCAAGAGGAGCACGTAGACGACGATGACGACGGGGCATGCCGATCAAGA